AAGGAGCCTCAGTCAGCGTTTGGCAAATGGACAAAGAGAAGAACCTGGGGAATGAAATTAGTGACTTGCCTGCAGCTTTGTGAAGAAACTGGAGAAGGTTCACCTGCCATTGCAAAGCAGCTCCTGTTCCCCTAGTTGCTGCCCCATTTTATTTATGCTCCAAGCCTGCTATCCCAGGTGAGCTTTCCTGTGGAGCTGAGACACCCCTCCCCCCATATGCTGGGTGCTGTGACTGACATGGTCACCCCACCATCGAGTCCCTCAGCTGGCATCTTACAATGAGAACAGCTTGAGCTGCACCTGGCTCAAGAGAGAAGGTAATAATAGGCAAAGCACAGGTTACTGTTCATCCCGGGGTCAGGGCATCCAGGATAAAGTGCCTACCTTATTCCACAAACATTGCTGCTGGTGGAATGAGACGAAATAAATGGGTTGATTGTTGTGATGGTTAATTTCATGTGTCAAGTTGACTGGGCCATGGGGTAACCGGCTATCTGGCTACACATTATTCTGGGTATACCTAGGAGATTGTTTCTGGGTGAGATTAGCATTTGCATTGGACTAAGGAGAGTTCGCCCTCCCCAGTGTGGTGGGCCTCGTCCAATCAGTTGAAGACCTGAAAAAAAAGGCGGAGGAAGGGAGACTTCTCTCTGCCTGACTGAGTTGGAACATGGGTCCTTTCCGGCTTTAGGACTGAGACTATCATCGCTTCTCTGGTTCTCGGGGCCTTTTGGCTTTTGGCTTGGACTGGCTGTACACCACTCTTCCCTGGGTCTCCAGCTTGCAGATAGCAGATAGTGGGACTTCTCAGCCTCCATAATCACGTGAGTCAGTTCCCTATTTCATAGTCATATATCCTATTGGATCTATTTCCCTGGAGAACCCTAATAACAGTTGTAGAACTTTCCAATTTGGCTCATGGAACTACAGGTCAGCTGCGTCTAGGAGCCTTGAGGCCCCAGGCAGGAGGCAAGAGGGCTGAGGAGAGCCCCACGAACAGTCCCAATGCCTCCAGAGGAGTCATGGGGAGACCAGAGCAGAGCTTTGGATGGGAGCCCAATAGAAGTCCGTGGAAAGTGTCTAGGCTTTTTCCAGAGGAAAGGACACCAAGACTGGAAGACTAGGGACAAGTGTCGTGAGGGGGAGCACTCTGACCCTCGGAGTATTCGGAAGCAGAAGCTAGAGAACAGAAGTGCTCTCCGCTACAGAAAAGTGCTGGCTGCACAAGCTTCTGGCAAGGCTTAACCCAGTGGCCCCATGCCCGAGGCACCCAACGCCTGCTTTCCTCCCTCCTCTCTGCCTGCCAGTGTGTTGGCTTCCTCCTCGGCCTGGCTCCCCTGCTCACAAGATTTATGCCCAGCGCTGGGAGAGGGGTGTGGCCAGTGCCCCTCAAATCACACGGCAGGGAAATGCAGGGGCAGAGAGCTCACTGAACATTGGGGCACTGTCACCGTGAGAATGGGGGCATGGGAGCCAAGTGGCCAAGGTCAGCACAGCTCCTCTGGGAGGGAGGGACTCCTGTCCTGAGAGGAGGTGAGGCTGGGTGACGTCTCAGGTCCCATCCAACCTAGGGATTCTGTGGTTTACGTAAGCACACACACCTAGCTAATGCCCAGTGGTTCTGGGGAACAGGTAAGAGACCAGTATGGCTTTGGCCCAGTGCCAAATGTGGCGCCCCCTCAGACCAAGGCTTTCGTCTAGCAGCTGCTTCTAGGTAACCTGACTGGGAGGCAGCCTCACTGGCTTCTGGGAGCTCTGCTGGGTTCATGTCCTGTATTTCCCACGTTCCCCAGAACACACCATCTTCCATGGGGAACTGAACCAGGCCACCACCAGGCTCAGTGATCACTTGAATTGCTCTTTCAACTTTTTTCTGCTCCACGGGGACCTTTAGGGGACCCAGGAGAACTGCAGTTCTCTCGGCCTTGATGATATAATCGTGAGTTTCCCGGTATGTGAGCAGCTCCAGGGCTGCAGAGAGCACTTTACTCATCTGAGTTTAACAAATTGAATAATTTCCAAGGAAGCAAGAGCTGGTGAGAGGCACAAGATGGGTCTCTACAGTGGCTTTTGGGTTTGTTTTCACCTTCACTTGTGAAATAACGGCTAGCATGTAGGTGGACCTCATCTTGCCCTTAGACTGTGGGCTCTCTGCCCTCTCCTGCACACAGCAGCGCCTGAACAAACTGATTGCTCACAGCCCAAGTCCACTTTGTTCTGTTCATCTAGGTCCCAACAAAGATTATGGAACCTCCCACCCAGGAGGTGTTGTAAAGCCAGGGCGGTGAGTGAGCTCTGCTGGCAGGACCTCAGGTCAGGCCACATCTTGTAACAGCAGAAGTGGACCAGTCCCCCAGGGCAGGAACAGCTGCTGGTGCACATTTAAACAGACGAAAAATAATCTGAAAAGCCACTATTCTGAATTGCTTTTATTTAATTTTACAGAAACCTGATTGGGGTTTAGTATGTAATTATAAGTCCAGTAACAAGTCTACAAAAATGCACATACAATGCCAGAATTCCTTAAAAGCAACTAATACCATATTCTCTTGCATAAAACATGCATTAATATGAACTGCCACACATTGGCCAAAATCAGTCTCTACAAGAAGAGATGGCCCAATACAGTAAGAAACCCAGTTGTGAACAATAGGTAAAAAAAGAGGTTTTCTGGTTAATGTAAAAGGAAGTGCCTTTCATCAAACAAGCCTTTTAGCGCTGGTGACCTGTGCTATTGTGCTGTAATGTGTCACCTCTGAGACGTGGTCCTGACCTGTCATAAGGAACTTTCTGGTAGTTCAAACATTTGAGAAGACATACACTTTCAGGTCACAACGGCAGAGCAGCCTTGCAGAAGGGGGTGTAAAGATCCTGACTTGGAACAGTCCCCAAGCTGGGGACTGGAAACAATCTCAAAAATGCCGAGCTTTCCAGTCCAGCCTGTTTACCCTTTTTCTCCAAGGCCAGCTCAGGTCACACGAGCATCTTCCAGCTCCACACATCACTCTTCCTGAGGGTCTGCATTGGGAGGCGTGATGCAGAAAACGGGGGACTATTTCTTTGAGGCCTTGACTTCCTGTAAGCTGAGTTCATCTCACACAGCGATCAGTGGGCACTCATATAAGTGACCACTCAACACACAAAGGAATATTAATGTACACTTGTGGTCCCAATGCCTCAAGTGCTTGTAGTCACATACCTCCAAGTGGGTCATCTATTGTCAGAAAGACCTTGTCCCTCCAGAGGGAGACAGCAACTGAGGGCTCCGTTTATCAAAAGGTGTTTTCCACATGGACCGAGGGACTTTAAAGAGAATTCAAACCAACTGAAAGGACTTCCCCTCAAATACGGGGTTTTATACAACATTCCATGAGGTTCTTCAAAAGATCTGTCATTAGGGAACCAGCTATGGGTGTTACCGCTTATATACACAAAGCGCATCCTTCGCGCAGCCTAGAGCCTTGTTTGAAATCTCTTCACACGGTCTGCCTCTCCCCAAAAAGAGCACTCACTGCCCTGCTCACTACAAGTAAGCTAAGCCAGTATCTTTTTTCTCCAGAACAATTTAAGGGGAAAAAATAATTTATTGGGGTTCTAATAACATTTTCCTAACAGAACAATATCAAAATAGGTCTGTTTTCAATATATGCTTATGAATATCCCTGATAATATAAAGAAACCCAGAGGACTCTGTAAACCACTGAGATCTCACAGGGTAGCATCGGTCTGTTTTCTAGGCAGCAGAAGAGGGACTCAGTACTGGCACGTTCTCTCCAGGAAGCCCTGTGAGCACCACAGTTCTGAAATGCTAATATTCTAGTGCCAGCAGAATTGTGAATGAAATTTTCACTTGAAATTGGGTAGTAAAATTCCTAACAAAGGTTGGCTTCCTCAATCCTAGCCCTGAAAACCATCGGTCCCGGCTACTCCAGAGGTTGGGCCCAAAGGAAACGAGTTCCGAGATCCCTCGTATGCCATGACCAAACCTCAGAAAGCAGGGACGTGGGAGGTGACCAGGCTTGAGGAAGCTTTGACCCAAGGCACCACGGTCACAGGGGCGAGGGGACCTATAGTGGGTCTAGCTGACAGGAAGAGAGCTTCAGTGATGCCCCAAAGCAGGTCCTGGAAGACGACAGCTCTGTGGCAGAGCAGACCTTCGGGAGTGAAAGCAAATCATTAGGAAAGAAACTACTTTCTCAAAACCAAAGCAAACTTCTTAAAACTTCTAAGTAAATAGCCCTGGGTGGACTGGGGGCGGGATGGGGACTGAAGTCTGTGGAATGAGCTGCTTTGAGCTGAGGCGGAAAGAAGAATGCTGGTTGTGAAATCAGCATAAACAGTGTGGCTACTGTAGTTAAGGAGAGTGAAGGGAGCTGGAGGCCAGAGAAGGGGCCTCTCCAAGAGAGGCCAGGAAGAGGACCAATGGGGAAATCTGCCTCTTTTATTCCCGGAACAGGAGGCGGCCTTTTCATTGGCGGGGATGAGAAGGCGCCATACTCCAGTCTAGCTGCAATAATACTGCATCCCATCCACTCTTCTTCTCTTTCTTGACTGAAATTCTTCAAAGAACTGCTGGATGTCCTCTCTCTTAACAACCTATTGATGAAAAGCAAAGATTAGGAAAGGGAACTACATTACAGAATAGCGGTAACTGTTCATGACATTCACAAGTCAAACAATATTGCTGACAATAATTATTTTAATGTGTAATTAATTATCCCATCTCCATGTTACAGAGAGCTCACCAGACTCAGACACTGGCCTGTTCAGGGTCACACAGCTAGGCAGAAAAGCATAGGGTGCCAAGCCTAGGTTCCACCACGTCCCTTGGTTTCCTCACGCAAAATGAGATAAAAGCAGCACCTTTGATGTTTTTGAAGAGCAGATGAGATATAATGCATGTAGAACATTGCCTGGCACATAGTAAGTTCTCAATAAATAGAAGCAAAAAGAAAAGTGACAGAGCAGCATAAAAACAGAACCCTAAAGGTCTCCTAGGATCACTGTTCTCTCTTGTTACCACAGCTGACTTTTGGGAATGTCCTCAGCTCTGCATAAGCACCCACAAAATACAGTGTTTTGTTTTGAGATTTACTGAAAAAAAGAAACCAAACAACATTTCCTTCTTTGAGAGTCTAAAATTAAAGATGTTTGTAGATAAACAGCAAAATAATTGGCAAAAACTATATTAGTACTACTCTTAGTAAATGGATATCCATTTTATGCAATAAAAATGAGAAATTGATCTTTATTGGGGAAAGGATTGGAGCATCATACAAAAGTGTTTATGATATGAGCAAAATAAAATATTAAAAATAAGACAAAGGGGAAAATATGGATAAAAGTAAACTGGGACAGCCCAGGAGTCCCTGCTCAGCCCAAGAGTGAGTCTTGCCAGTTGATGTATTCTAGCAAATGGCCATCACAAGAGACAGATTTGTTCATTTACTTTTCAATTATAAAGGTAACACGTGCTTATTGTTATGAAGAAATGTAGGTAGGGCAGGGAGAGAGGGAAAGAGAAAAAGGAAGTAGTGAATGCATGAAAAAGAGGAAAGGAGAAGTAAGAAAGAGGACAATTACTGGTGTATAAAATGAAAACCTCCCTCTCTCATTCTCCAAGGATAAGTGCTGCTAACACATACAAATGGCAGTGCTAACTTGAAGAACTTTCTTGGGGTAAGATACTTATTAATCCTCTAAATAAAAGAATATTTTCTCAGTACTCTACCATGGACCAGGAGCTGATACACCAGTTTCATAAGCACCAAGAGTAAAACTGCTGGTCAAACAGTGAGGAACTAGAACACCTAACAGATTCAAGATCTACATGGCTAACGCGCTGAGACAACTGCAGCTCAAAGCTCTAACATACTGGGCTAAATGGCTTGGAAATTTACACTTACAAAATGCTAGTAAATAAGATGCCTGGAAATTCCAATATAAAGGATCTTTCCTTACCTTGGATCACAAACATTAAACACTGAAAAGCAATAAAAGACAAACACTTCTCCTGCAAGGATACTGTGGGCAGAGTCCTAAAAGCACACAAATTAGAGCATGCAATTTTTAGTTTCTAGATGTCCTCAAACGGTCACAGCCAACATGCAGAGTAGAAATGTTAGAGAATAAATACTTGGGCTCAATGATAAATCATCTGATCAGTTTGTCTCAGAAAATTTATAGTTTCTAAATGTTTTTTTAATAGTCAGACACAAACATTAAACAGAAGTGGTCCGTCATCTAAGAATGTCTAGAACTTACTAGCATTATCTTCTGTGGACAATACAACCAAACCACATTAAGTCTTATGGCAACTTAAGGTAGGTGTTTGTTTGTTTGTTTGTTTGTTTGTTTGGTAAAGATCTAGTCAGTAATGTCATGGAACAACTAATATAAAAATAATATTTTCTGTCCTTTTAAATCATCAAATCAGATGACAAAATTCTCTCATGAAGACTCATAAAAAGCAGCTCGTGATAACAAAGATGCAGATGTTAAGATACATGTGGAAACTTTGAATAAAACGCTTTCAAATGTGAGTCTGCCTTACCCAGAGGATAGCCTCTGCAGTAGAAACAAGAATAACGCTAGTATGAGAACTGCTGGGAAACAGGAAGATGTTCATAGTGACAAGGAAAAACAGTCTCTAAAAAATGAGAAAGCCATTTAAGAGAAGGCTCTTTTAACTTCTGACTTTACAATTCATTTTGTAGAAAGGCAGCACTGTGACCCTGCCCAGAAATCCAGGCCGCTAGAAGTTTTCTCAGATTTTTGAGGAAGAAGCAAATGATCTGAAGTGGGCTGGCAGAGAAAAGACTGGCCAAGAAAGCCAGTCTCACAGCACTTCCTGGGTATCCGGCAGACCCATATCTGGCTAGATTTGTATGTCTGGCCAGAGTAGAGCAAAACATTTACTGGCCACAAGGACAAACTTAGGCCATAAAAAGAAAAGTTGAATTCTGTTTTATGTCTGCCTTCACAAGACAGAAAAGTATTTTTTTTTCAATTAGTGTTCTATCATGAACACTCTTCTATATTGTAATATATTTAGAATTTATCATGAATATTTTTTTATTCTTCAATTACAGTTGACATTCAATATTATTTTATACTAGTTTCAGGTGTACAGCATAGTGGTTAGACATTTATATAATATTCAAAGTGATCCCCCAATTAGTCTAGTACCCACCCGGCACTATCCATTAATTATTTCAATATTTATGTTGTACTTTACATCCCTGATAGGAAAGTATTTTAGAAAAAACTTCATCACAAACATATGACTAGTAAAGGGCTACGAAGTATTTCTGAATCCATCTGGAAGACTATTTTAAAACATTACACAAAGTCGAGTCAGTGTCCCCCTTTCAGGCACACATTTTCTTGCTAGCAAGAGACATGTTGTAACCCCAATTACACAGTTCTTTTATTCTCAACTATAGAATCCAGAATCCCCAAAATAGAGCCTGGCTTTAATTTTTTTCTTGCCTGGTCATTTTTCCTTCCTCCTCCAAGGATCCTTGCTTGAAGGTCAGGATCGGCAGAACCAGTATGGCCCATCCAATGGCTTCTCCTAAGCTCCACCCACTCCCTTCAGCTCCTGTGTCACTGACTGCCCCATCCCTCCTTCCTTCTGGCCCAGGGTTGAGAAGGACTCCCAGGGAGGCTAGTCTGTTGGTGTTTCACCGCCTCTTATTGCCTTCCCTTAGCTCTGCCTGCACTAAACTCTCAAGGATCCAGTTTAAGATGCATAGTCATTGTTTCCATCAAAGAAAATGAACGGTTTATTTAAAACATACAAGACTATGATTAAAATTCTTTAACTCAACATACCGTGCCTTCATCAGCAAATCTCTTGAGATAGTCTTTAAGTTCAGTCTTCAAGTCATTATATTCTAAATCAAAACAACAAAAAAAGGACTTAAACTTTAAATAAGCCATTTGCTTTTAGAAACAATTTCTTTACCACAGACATGTTAGTAGTTTAAATATTTCTTTAAGTGAAACCTGCATTGTTCCAAATTTCTCCCAAATTCCTTCATTTTGATATCTGAAACACTTTTTCGTTAAAAAAAAAACACCACAAAAACCAAACCTCAAAAGCCAGAGATTCCTCACTCCCAAAAAGATTAGCTAAGAATTTTTTAAAAGGGTTTCATATCTCTCTGGAATTCTAATATTTGAAATAACCTCAGACTTATCAAACACTAAGTTTTAAAATTGTACACTCACTCAACAGTGTTTATTGTGTATAAGGCACCTTGAGAGCTACAACAATCATTTAGATACAGCCTCCATCCTCAGAAAGTTTTTAGTCTAATAAAGGCAAAAGGAAATTATCAAGTAGTTACAAACAAAAGACAGAAGTGATCGATGCGACAAAAGGGGCAGCACGGTGGTGACCTCCCCATGGAAACTGCTGGGATGGAAACACTGAAACAAGTTGGGCCTGCTGAAGGAAAAAATGTCTAAGCCTGCAATTAAGGGTTTGGGAATATTTTCCCCTCTAGTGGATTCCTGTGAACCACTGAAACAACCTCAAGAACTGTCAAAAAGATGACATGCTTTGCTCAAAAAGATGACATGTAATGCTCAATGAAAATTATTGTTCGCTGGATGAAAAACGAAATTGAAGCTGTAATATTCTTTCCTCACACATCTACCCTTAATCAAAATAGCACATGTTGTGGTTTCTCGAGCATGTAATTATTCTAGCATGTAACCCTGACTCAGTGGGAATAGCAACTAAAAACCCAGCAAGATTACAACTAAGCAAGTGTAGTTGCGTTCCGCTATACAATTCCAAATTTAAACTTTCTTTGTATTAAAACAATAGGTATTAGTCGTCCTCTTTAGACACATATATTTTTCCAATTGTGAAGGAAGCTTTATGAACTTCATGAATTTTCCCACTCAAACAGTACTTGCCACAAATAAGTTCCACTTGCTGGACCCTGTTCATGCTGTTCAGGGTGTCCATTAAAGGATCTGTCTTGTCAGTTGCCTGGTCCACCTTGCCCTTGTTTTCATAAGCCAGAACCGTGTCATATTCATCTGTCAGGAACAGGACATCTAGGTCGCCATACATTTTCTTCAAAAAATAAAAACCAGTTTCCCCATTAGAACTGTGTGTCATTCTCAGAAAGTCAACCTCAGAAGAATCACTCAAAGTGTATTTGTTTTAGATTAACTGCCAGAAAAACCTGACTCTTTTAGCACAGAATTGCTTGAGTGATTTATTCTTTTTGCCCAAATCTCTCTCAGAAATCTTCCAACTTCCTAGTAGATGTTGTATGGCCTAAGAGATCTTTACTTAAAAACCACTGACTTACTGTAACTTTCAAGCAATTGGTGTTTCCAAGCAATTCTATGATATAAAAACAGCTAAGGGCCGGCCGAGTGGCGCGATGGTTAAGAACTCGCTTGGGATGCCAGAGGGCCCCGGTTCGGATCCCACATATGAGGGCCAGTGACACTGC